CTAAAATAACTAAAACTAAATATTCCCCCCCCCAAAAATGGATATTCTTATTTTACATAATGTTTGAATTCAGGATTATTTCATTATTATTTTTTTTTATTTTGTACAGCAGATATATCATATGTATTAATGTAAATGATTGGTTTTAAAGATGCACAGATCTTGTATATGTTAACATTTTAAATATTGTCAGTTGCATCAAGTTTTACTGGCAAGTCCCTGGCTTTATTCCTGGTTTGAATGATTGAGGCTGTGTAAATAAACCATCATTTGAGCCGAAATGAAGTTTGTTTGTTTTTTGTCAGTATTAAGAAAAGCTCCAAATGCATGCACACGCACTGTGCTTCCATCCTTAGACTTAAAAAGCACAGAGTGGACATATTCACACAAGCCACAAAAAGTGTATGCGTTGTTGTAGCCCTTGAGGCCATGTTCCATGTCCGAATGTTCCAAGACCATGAATATTTCTCAAGACAGACTACAAGATCCTTTAAAATGCTTTAAAATCACGTTACAATGTGAGTGTCATCATCCAGCTTAAGTCTAAAATATGCGCTTGTCCAATGACATTACAGCTTAATTAATAATATTTTTTTTTTATTAATTCTATTGTAAACTCAGACTGAGCTAGTGTTGGGGAATGTTACTTTTGAAAGAAATGCATTCAAATATTTAGTTACTCCTCAAAAAAAAAACTAGTTACATTGATTAGTTACTTTTTTCCAGAAAGTAACGGTTTATGTACGGCACGGTGACTTAGTGGTTAGCACTGTTGTCTCACAACAAGAGGGTCACTGGTTCGAGTCCTCTGTGGAGTTTTTATGTTCTCCCCGTGGTGGTGTGGGTTTCCTTTGAGTGCTTCGTTTTCCCACACAATCCAGAGACTTGCGCTATAGGTGAAGTGAATAAATTAAATTGACCGTAGTGTATGAGTGTGTGAGAGAGTGTATGGATGCTTTCCAGTACTGTGTTGCAGCTGAATGGACATCCACGGTGTAAAACATATGCTGGATAAGTTGGCGGTTCATTCCACTGTGGCGACCCCTGATTAATAAAGGGGCTAAGCCTAAAAGAAAATGAATGAATGATTAATGTCAAGTTTTAAAAAGGCATGTAAAGCATACAGCTGCGGCCGGAAGTAATTACTTGTATTATTTATTAAATTACCCATAAATCCAACCATCATAGGAATGTATAAACACTAATTATACAGAATATTAATATTATTATATAATATACGAAACTTTTGCGTTACTATTTTTTACCTTTACTAAGGTTTGTGTTCTTTCAGAACTTTGAGGATTTTTTTTCTTCTTTTTTTAAATAGAGGAGCTCTGTAAATAGAGTTACCTTTAAAAAAAAAAAAAATCAAATAATAATAATAATGTAAAGCCCAGAGGTCAACATGCCATATAGAGATTAATGAAATGTAAAAGCAATGTGTTTGAGGCTTTCGTACTTTTTGTCTTATTAGTGAAGTAAAATGAGCATTGAGGCAATCTCCTTTTACTTTGCTTCCATGCGTTTAGAATAATGAGAAAACGTGCAGTGCAGAAATGTAAGGATCTACCATCATGGTTTCTGTTTGTTTCTGCAGGGAGAAAATTCTCTCATTAATTTCGGGATTCAATGTTAATTTTAATTCAGCAATTTATTTTTTAGAAGCAAATGAATTAAAAACTTGCATTACATTTTTTATAAATTAACAAATAATATGACTTAATATTTTAATAAATGCATTACTTTACTCGTTACTTGGAAAAGTGATATTATTACATAACTAATTATTATTGAACTGAGCAAGCTAAAGGCTTTATGTGTAAAACTAATTGCTTACATCAACTGTTCATAAAAATTAATGCAGCTTTATTTCCAAACATTTATTAATATTGCTTGCTTATTCTCTGGCACACTATAAAACATATTGTGATGCATTATAGTGATGCATTTTGTGTGGTTCTCAAATCTTCAGAAAGTGAATTCATTTAAATTAATCTGTATTTCTATAGTGCTTTTACAATGTAAATTGTGTTGAAGCAGCTTTACACAGCAGTTCTAGTGAATTGAAACTGTGTCAGTCCAGTGTTCAGAGTTGAAGTTCAGTTTAGTTTAGTTTAGTTACTTGTTATAACATGTGTTTTTTCAAAAGAGGATTAGCCCCTGTTGTAGCCGCTGGTCAAAATAATTACAACCAGCAAGACATTCGTTATCAAGCAGTGCACATTGTGAATGTATTTGTGTGTGTGTGTGTGTGTGTGTGTGTGTGTGTGTGTGTGTGTGTGTGTGTGTGTGTGTGTGTGTGTGTGTGTGTGTGTGTGCAAAAACAGAGTACAACAAGGCATGGAAAAAGGGGGTCTGGTGATGAGTCTTTGACTTGTCTTTCTATAAGGAAGAATTAATTAAAGTTGAGTAAATTTGATCCTCAACCAAGTCCTGCCAGCGTGAATGACTACACATAAGACATATGTGAACTCTGGGTGGGGAAATGTTGTTTTAAGCCGCTGGAGCAATGAGTGTTAGTGATGGTGCAGTTTGAGAAGCTCTTGCTATTTTTAAACACAGGTGAACAGTAAAAGCGTTGAAACCTCACTGTTTTTGGAGGAAGAAGCTATAGCAAGAGATTTATTGACAGGTTTGAGAACTTGGCTTGAGAGTACTTGAAAAGTTTTATTAAAGTTAAATTGTTCTACTGTAGATGCTATGTGATAGAAAAAGTTCAACTTTCCTGAGACAATGCCATGTTTGACAAGTCATGAAATTCCATCAATACACACAGCCACTAAAAATACCAAGGGACATGGATCTGCCAAGACATTAAGTCAAGCAAAAATGTGGAAAAACTAAATAAAATAGTGTAGAGCGATCAGAAATAGTTTTAACATGGGCTGTTTAATACTTTTCTCTCTGTTCAGGAGTTACAAATCAGCTTCTTCACTTTGCACACACTCTCGAATTAGTCCTCTTTCCCTTACGAAAATTTCAGATTTTTAGCAGACATTGCATTAACTACAAATTTGTAATGTAATGCCTGATTTTTAGTTAAACCCATCAAAGTGAATGATGTTAATTGTGTGTCTGTGTAGATAATTTAATTCATGTTTTTGGTGCTAATGCTTTAGCTGTTACTGTAAATTGAGCAAATTCATTGCTATAAGACTCTGGATAAGTTGTAACGGCAATAGTCTGAGTCAGTTATAACAAACAAAACTCATAGTTAGTTGTAAACACCAGTGATGCTACAACGAACCCCAGGCAAATTATTTGTACTTGCATATTTTAATTTCAGTATAGGTAATAAAAGTGAAAGACCTCAAAGCCAAAGAAGTTTGGCACACACACAATAAGCCTTCAAATTACATAACGTTAAACAATTACATAACATAAAATGTTGCATTTCACCCCTAACACTGACTATGGGATGAATTGTTACATTTCATTCCTCCTTTTTGAACTAAACTGTGAATTTTTCTGTTTGTGGTGCAAAGATAACATGCAGTTTAATAGCAGACACCTTTAACTAATTTGAATCACATTTTAAACACACTGGCCTCAAAGATCTTTAAGATATATAAAGGAAAATGCAAAGCATATTACAACGATTGCCCATCAACCCATATTGTTTTATTCAGGCCTTTAATTTTCATAACGTTTTTAGGGTGCGATATTAGGAAACAAAATATATATTTGTACATGATTCAATGTTTATACTCAAATAAAACAATGACATCTTCAGAGTGAGAGATTTGAAGAAATTTCTGATCACTACAATTGACTAAGGTAGAAATTTCAGGATCATTGCTGTGCTTTGATTTGGTGGCTTTGTTTGGTGTCTTAAGTTTCGTGAATGTTCTGATTGCTTAGTTAGGACCATATAAATGACTTCCCACAATCTTTATAAAAGCTTTAAGTTATTCAAGTGAGGTTAAATGAGGACACGTTTGTTTTTTGGTATCTTGACCATAAGACCTTCTCAAAAAACAATACTGTTTCCTCCAGCTGGTAAACATATTTCTAACATTCCTCAAATGCATGTTAGGAGATTTCAGCAGGACTTCTGCTATAAGTCTCTCTTTGGTACAGTCTCTTTAGCGAGCAATAGCTTGTCAAACAGTGGACAAACATAGATGGCGTTCACAGGCACAGCAGGATCTGATTTTTCATTTCATTTTTGACCTTGAGAAGTCCAATTGGAGCAACTTTTATATGAGGCTATTTTGTGTCCAAGTTTTCTTTTTTTTTTTCACTAGTGTATAAATTATCTTTAGAAAAAGAAAAAGAAAAAAAATGACCCCAAAATGTTTTCAGATTGCTAGAAGCATTTCCTAATAAACATTTTATTATTCTATTTTCTGGAAAATAACTTATTTTCATTCATTTTACTTTGGCTTAGCATACCATTTTAGCTGCAACACAGTACTGGGAAATCCTACACACTCATTCACACTCAAACACTACAGCCAATTTAGTTCATCCAATTCACCTATAGTGCATGTATTTGGACTGTTTGGGAAACTGGAGCACCCAGAGTAAATCCACGTTTACACAGGAATAACATGAATAACATGCAAACTCCATACAGAAATGCCAACTGACCCGAACCAGGCCACAGTGTCATACATTTTACATATAATACAGATTTTAATTAACTTTAAAATATAATATATAAAGTTAAGGTGTAGGTAAATGTAAAAGCACAAGAAACACTAAGACGAGTTAAAACAACTTCCATTAATTAATTATTCATGAATTGTATTGTATTAACGTCTATCCTTATCACAATCCTAAACCCCACCATCATAGTAATGTAAACGCTAATTATATCAAATATTATTTATATTATTTATTTATTAAACACCCCCACTCCAAACCTAAACCTAGCTACCACTGGCAGTAATGTAAAAATATCAATTATTGTTGTAAAGTGTCACAGAAATGTTTCTATATTCATGTGAGTATCCGCAGCTGTATCCCATTTGGACTTTACCAATGGAAAGCGAGACCACAACGTGTTTGTTTACGTTACCGTGGCTACCGAGGCAGATTCAGCGATTGTAGGACTTGAGCTCAGATGAAATGTTTACAAAGAATAATAGCCCAGCGTAGCAGTTTTCACAAGGAACTTATTTCACCTGAAGTCGACGTAGCCTGACGTCATACCACAAAGATGAGTGCAATTGTCACAGATGTTGAGGAAAATAAACCGGGTAGAAAATGTTTACTGGGAAACTGGGTTGAGGAGGTAAGTTTCTCAAAACATATTTACTATCATAGTACATGCTGACGTTTTGCATATGATGGTACACTTACAGTTGTCATCAACATATTTTCTGCCCTTGTTATGTCTCATCTCACTTAATCAGTTTCTCTTATGCACTTCAGGGGGCTACTGCACAGCTAGACAGTTCCAGACCTAGAACATGTATTCAAAAGCACGGACACACAGGCATTCTTACGATGGACGTGGCAGCTAAAGTGCAGGGGACCAGCACATTCAGAGCTGCTTTTAATGCTCCTACAAGCCTTAGGATGCGACAAAGAGGTAGGTTAAAAATTACGTTATAAATTTACTTTAAGATAAGCACATTTCTCCTGATACTTAAGATTTGTGTTTTCTCTCTTGGTATTTACACTATCCAACCTTATCATGTGATATAAATAAATATTTTGGGTATTTATTTTTATTTCTTGTATTTGTTTGTTTATTTTAGTTTAGAAATGGTTAATTTTAAATAAAAAATGAACAATACTTTTTAATCACATTTAATCACAACGACTCTTAAAATGCATTATGCATTAATATGCAATAAATGCAGTTAAAATGGAGCACATGCTTTATTCCATTAAATTTACATTTAGTCACTAGAAGTACTAATTATACAAAGGTACTGTCAGAGCTCAGAGAATTAAATGCTAGATTGAGGAGGGTTCAGTGGGATTATTTATTTATTTTTTTTAAAGAAAGAAGAGTATGGGTGTTTTTTCAAGCCCACTCACCTGTGAGTAAATAAAGGAAGAAGCAACTTTAATCCAAGTCAATCATATCTTAGGGTGCTGTCACACCTGTGAATCGATTCAGTTGTTCCGAAACAAGGATAAAAATTGTTTCATTGTTGCTCTTTGCTCTTGGCGTGGTTCACTTTCACACAGCTAAGTTTTTAAATGGACCAAAAGCCCAAAACCAAGATCAAAACAAGTCACGTGTTAGTAAACTCTTCTCGCATTGGTCAGAGTTTTACGGTTTATTTTGCTGAGTCCCGCTGTCAGGGGAGAAGGTGGTTTGGTGGTGATTGACAAGGTGCGCGGGACGTGTCTAAAGAACGTGGAGGGATGCGGTGGGAAGGGGTGAGAAGGGTGCGCAACGTATTTGAGGACTGGGAGGAAGACGAGTGATTTTCAGGAGATTATAACTCGTTTACGGGCATCTTGGAGTCTCTGTGCATTTGCGAGAGACTCCTGAAACTTTCGGGAGACTTGGGATGTCTGTAATGATCTCCTGCCTTACTCATAATTCTCTCTTCATATCGCAGTATGCCTATTACATATCCATAAAACACTGTGATATATCAGGGCTCGGATCGTATCACTGTCTCACTACAATAGATCTGCTCCAGAGTTTGTTTCAATCGAGCAGAGACCACCTCATTCAAGCGATCAGGGAGGGATTATTTTGGCACGCATCCGATATCGATTGGTGGATTCACATATGCCAAATGAACTGCGCTATATATATATATATACTAAAGTATTTTTGAGCACATCTTCAGAAACATCATCTTTAGAAGTTATTGCATCATAGCATGTACTCCTCAAGGTATGGTCACAAGGAATCCTGCTTCAGAAATAACTTCTCTCCCTCAGTCATCTTTCCATCAAGCAAGTTTCGGTTGGTGACGTCACCAACCAGAGGTAGCATTAACGTACCAAAAACTTAGTTTGTTGTCGAACACGATAACAGGAAGAAGAAGAAATAGTCATTCTCGCCATCATATGGATTTACTTTCATTGGCTAGAAATCGGCCTCACAGCTCCGTGAATGTGGGTGTTGTCTTTTATTAATCCGCAATAGGTAAAGGTAGCTTGTGTGAACGCTACTGCGCTACTTGACTAATAAAATAGCTTCGCTACTAAAAAGCTATTTGATTTAGAAAGTAGCAACGCTACCGCCACACCACTGAGAAATGTAGTTAAGCTAGTAGCGTCACTACATGTAGCGACGCTACTGCCCAACACTGGGAGAGACAGTGATAGAGCCAGTTAAGTGCATGGGGATGATTAGGAGGCCATAATCTGTAAGGGCCTATTGAGGGAATTTGGGCAGAACACAGGGGTTACACCCCAACAATTTACGAGAAGTGCCATGGGATTTTTAATGACCACAGAGTGTCAGGACCTCGGTTTAACATCGCATCTAAAAGACGGTGCGCACTGACAGTATAGTGTCCCCTTCAATTTACTGGGGCATTAGGACCCACACAGACTGCAGGTTGAACACCCTAGAAACCTAGTTTTCCCATTCAGGTACTGAACAGACTCAACCCTGCTTAGCAAACCGGTCTTGGGCTGCAGGATGGCTGTGTCAAAATGAAATGACATGTACAATTTAACTGTATAATTCACAAATATAGTTATATTCACAAATATAAAATGGTGAACTGTCAACTGACCCAAAACTCTTTTACACAGATGAGCATTTTTTGAGCATTGCAACAGTTTTTCAGATTTTACAAAGAAGTTCCTTTTGATTCTACAAGTAATATAGTTCACATAGCTCATTTCAAACAAATGTCCAACCATCTTTCTGCTCCATACAGTAAATACTTTAAAGTAAATTTCACTGTGGTTTTCATTTTAGGAAGACGGACTGAACTTCTGGAAAACGACCTCATCAAAAGAATAAGGTAGTTAAATAAACAAGCATTTACTTTAAAGTTTAGTGTCCAATGAACTCATCGTGTGTAAAACAGAAATTACATTTTATTTTACTCCTACATTTCTTGTTTCATGTGCGAGAGAAGGAAACTGGAAGAGAACTGATGTAAGAACATTTTTGTGCCACAAACAGATTCATAGTTCAATTAAATAATTTTGAAAAATTATTTACAATGTCGCTGTCTGCTTTATTCTTGAATGTAACCTTGACTACAAGTCTCTGTCGTCAAAACAAAAAAGAAAGAAAGACAAAAATGATAATTTGTAAGTGAGACACCTCATGTCCTTACTTCTGATTTTAGGCTGAGCAAAGGCAAAGCAAAATGGGGTCAGATCCTCTTTAATGTTCTTTACATTAAAAACATTTTGTTGATTAAAAATTAATTATCATTAAAAAGTTCATTAATTAATATTTAAATCATTTCAGATAACATGCTTCACTTTATAGGGAGTCATTCATCTAAAGGTTAATGTGGTAAAATGTATGGTTCCATTTACTTCTTTGTTTATGCTCACTTTTTAAATCTTGCATTTATAATTCCATAAGTAATTTATTTTTATGATCATTAACATGACTCTTCTTTTGTGTCAGATTGTTATCAGTCTGAATGCATGTCAGACAGACATGCCTAAATATAATTGTTTTGTTTGAACCATCTGTTAAATTAAAGGGCAATCCTTCTGTTGCGCTCAGTCATGAGTCATTAACTTCTCGTCTTCACACAGTGACTGTGTATTCTAAAACCATTTTCAACAAAATGAGCTTTATTAAACATTTGAAATGAGATAACATGTCATTGCAAACTTAAATCTTGCTTCCCAAATACAGCACGGCAGCTTAAAAAAAGTATTTATAGATACTATACTGTTAGATTATTTATTCTGATCGGTAATATATTATCCATTCATTTATTTTCTTGTCGGCTTAGTCCCTTTATTAATCCGGGGTCGCCACAGCGGAATGAACCGCCAACTTATCCGGCAATTTTTTATGCTGCGAATGCCCTTCCGGCCGCATCCACACACACTCAGACACTATGGACAATTTAGCCTACCCAATTCACCTGTACTGCATGTCTTTGGAATGTAGGAGAAACCGGATCACCCAGAGGAAACCCACGCGAATGCAGGGAGAACATGCAAACTCCACACTGAAATGCCAACTGAGCTGAGGATCGAACCAGCGACCTTCTTGCTGTGAGCCGACAGCACTACCTACTGCGCCAATGCTTCGCCTGCCCGTAATAAAACCTGCAACCTATTGAACTTATAAAACAAACAAACAAATGTTGAAGGCTTGCTTTTTTCACTAATCTACACTATGATGACCTGTGAGTATTGGATTGGAGAGCTGAGAGAAGAAAAGGAGAAAAGACAAAGAGCACTAAGTGGAGCATATAATAAACGTTTATTATATAAATTCAAACCAAATGAGTCTACTGAGAGTAAACCTTTTTTATTGTAGCCTGTACAGTCCTTCTTGTACAGTGGTGCAGTGGAAAAAGAATGAATATTGTGTATTACTCCCATGAGCTTGGAGGAATGCATTCATACATCTCTGCAATAACTCAAATAACTTATTAATAAAGTCATCTGGAATGGCTAAGAAAGCGTTTTTGCAGGACTCCCTGAGTTCATCAAGATTCTTTAGATTCATCTTCAATGCCTCCTCCTTCATCTTACCTTAGACATGCTCAATAATGTTTATGTCTCGTGACTGGGCTGGCCAATCCTGGACCAAATCTTCTTTGCTTACAGGAACTTTGATGAAGTATGAGAAAGAGCGCTATCCTGCTGAAGAATTTGTCTTCTCCTGTTGTTTGTAATGTAATGAGCAGCACAAATGTCTTGATACCTCAGGCTGTTGATGTTGCCATCCACTATGGGGATCTCTTGCACGCCCCCCATACTGAACGTAACCCCAAACCATGATTTTTTTCTTTACCAAACTGATTTCTGTGAGAATCTTGGGTCCACATAGGTCTTCTGAAGTATTTGTGATGATTGGGATACAGTTGATTATTCATTAGAAAAATCTACTTTGTGCCACTTTTCCAAATGATCAAATAGAAGTCAAATTATTTGTTGCTCTTACATCTGAGTGCCATCTTTTGCGTTAAAAGCAAGCTTTATAAACCTTTCACTAAAAGGTTAATCATTGGCCGAATAACATTGCTGTGCAAATAGAACCTTTTAATTTCTGTTTAGTTTGATTATGACTTAAGTCGGAATCAGGTAATCAAAAATCGCTGTTTACGTGTTAAACTCTTAATCAGAGTACAGTCTTTAAAATCCGACTATTGGTGTCCATGTAAACATACTCACTCAACCTATTTATTAACTTATGTAAATAATTATTTATTACGTTTTTATATTAATTTTAGCAATATTGAATAATATGTACATTTTTGGTATATGTACAATACAGTTTGTAAAGAACTATTTTTGGTTTTGGTCTTTTTGGTTGTTACATGTATTATTTGAGAGACTTATTTGTTTACCAAACAAATAGTTCTGATTGGATTTCCATTGCAAACCCTAAAAGTATAAAGTTATTTTTATTTATTTAATGTGTTTAGTTTTTAATTACTGTACTCTCAAAAGCATTCCACATAAATTTATAGAATTTGTAAATAATTATATGCAGAAATGGCTAAACAAATGTCTGCAGATTCTGTCTGGGCCTGCTTATGCATACAGAACACAATCAAGTAGTTAATATTCAAAGAGACTACTTGATTGAATTAACAAATAAGCTACAGTTTTAGCATAACATTTTGTTCTATTTTACAGGGATAAGATAAATGCTGACCTGAGCGCAGATCCTCCAATCACAGAGTTGTCCTCGGTAACAAAAGCAGACTACAAGGTGGAGGGCTTCAAATCTGTCCGTGCATGTCCAAATTCAACCATGGTGTGTCTCATTCTACTGTAACCTTTAGGAGCTGATATTTGACATTTGCCTCTTGAGCAATGCGTTTCATTTTTAAGTGAAAAAAAAATTGATGGTAAATTGTTATGAGAGCATTTTGTGACATAAATCATTATTCCTTTGAGCATATAATTTCATATATGTGCATTACAGGCGTGAATTTACAGGCATATGAATTTGCTTGTTTCTTCCAGGGTCATGAATATACAACCGAACAGGCCATCACATTTTGGAGTGATAACTATCAGAAGATTCAGGTAAACCTTTTTAGAACTGTGAGGTTTTAGATACATTCATCTTTTATTGTATCATCATTTTAATATTAACATTTTCTTTTCACATGCAGGGCATGACAGCAGTTACAAGGAAGGACAGTCCATTTAAAAGAAATGCCACTTTTAGTACACCAATCGGTGAACAACTAGATCAGCTGGATGACACAATGTTGTACCCATCAGAAAAGGATGCTCATTTGTGAGGAATTAACAAATGTTATCGTTGTATCATAAACAGCAAATGGGAGAAGTATATTCAATGCTGTGAATCTAAATGCAAGTCTTTAAATAACTGTTTATCTTACTCATTTTACAGTTCACCTTCACCACCTCAAATCAATCTTTTTTTCCATTAATTTAAACTAAGTTTTTAAATAGGTACGTTAATCATCATTAATCAACAGGAAATTAAAAGTTAACACTCTTGTCATCTGTCAGAAACAGCCAGCTAAATGTATGTAATTTACACACAGGTTGTTTTTTTTTTAATGTTTAATGGAGACTTCTTATAGATGTAATGACTTCTATACTGTAGTGTACAGACTGTATAATATCAAACTCTACACCTAAACCAAACTCTTGCAGAAAACATTATGCAATTTTACATTTTCAAAATTCTGCAGGATTTATGAGCCGTTTTCCATATGGACACCCAAAAAAAATCCTAGAATTTATTTATCCCAGAAGTTATTACCTCTAGTTGGTGACATTTGATCCTCAGAACCTAGTGATAATTCAAAGAAACACATATTTATCTTTCTATCTATCAATCTATCTGTCTATCAATCTATATCTATATACATGCAACAGACTGACAGTTTTCTCTGGATAAATGTGAAATGGTAAATTTGGTTGCACCCCAAAACCATCTGCCTTTTTTCACAAAAAGGAGAGCTCTAACCATTAGCTAAAATCGACTGCTGCTGTGTTTCTTTGGATTAGGATGGCTTACTTTCACACAGCTGTGCTGCCAGTCTCAGAGCTGCTCTGTCGCTGCAATCCTCTTTCATGCTTTCAGCAGGGATTAATGTTGGGTAGCTATGGCAACAAGTAATTTTAGACTTCATTAATTCAGTTTCCATTTGTTTTTACAAAGCTGTTTTCTTGGAGGAATGTGACAAAGTTTTAAAACTATTCTGATTCCTGAAAAGATTCATCTTGTTACTTAAATACAAAACTATTTTACATGATTGTTGCAGCTAGATCTATTATGAAATGTTTTATATGTCTATCCACTATTCAGCTCTTAAACAGCATCTATGTATTTGAGACTTGATTTTTACTTCTAGTAAGGGCTCCTTTTTTCTATATATTTATTTTAAGAAACATAATTAAATACGTAACTAGAACAAAACAAACAGTCAAACATGTGTGCTACCATGTCAGTTTGTAAGTATAATAGTATAAAGCTTTGCAAATTGACCTCTGGCAACAGGAGTAACTGTGACAGAGCTGATAGTGGGCAGTAATTAGGAATCATGGGGGTGAGAAGCAGCTGTGAACATGAGTGCTGACACACAGATGCATTAAAGGCACAGATGCCAAATGGGTTCCTAATGATCAAACTATGATGTCATCCCTATTTACCACTGACTGGAGTGAGCAGTAATGACCTAAGGATGTTCTTCAATGAGCAGACATTTTGTGGTTTAATAGAGAGAGTAAAATGAAATACTTCACGTTCAGTTGTTTAGTTTTTAGGACAAAAGTATCTCCAGCAAAAAAAAAAGCTATCCAAAAATGTCAATTTTAGTTGTAAAGAAATAAATGTTTTTGAAACTGACAGCAGAAGTCCATAATTTATTTGTATTATTTAGCCTGACATGTTTACGGTTCTAAAATATTTAAAATGTTTCCCAAAATAAAATATATTGTGTTTAGTGGGGGGAAAAAATTAAATTTTTACCAAGACATTTTAAAGATAATATTTTAAAGCAGTGATCACAATACAGTGAAACCGTGATATTTATATCCAAGGTTATCATACTGTCAGAATCTTATACTGGCCTAGTCTTAATAATACTTTGGTTCAATTTTCTGAATGGAAATGTAAATACCTTTTTACCCTATCAAAAACACCTGTCCACAGTGAGCCATTTTGATTCATGTCTCTTTAAATGCATATAAGCTGCTGCTCCCCTGCCCTTTCTTTAAGGGGACGACCACACCGAACCCGCTTTTTGCGTTGAGGGGCCTTTTTAAAATTATTTACTAATGGCCCAAGAGCATTTTCGCGCTGCTTATGCGCCCTGCGCACCTCGCATTTTAACGGCCTGCTGTGCCTCGAATATTCGACGTTGCACGCTCTACTCTCGCAGTTGGAAAAAAATCAACTTTGAGCAGAAAAAGTGCATTACATCAGTCGCGTCTGTTTCATTCTCCAATCAAATGATCAACCCCTAAGGCTGCAAGATCATAAATGGTGATTCATTTGTTTTGAGAATTTTATTTTTAAAAAGACATGCATCTTTCAGACAAATGCTTCATCTTTTAAATATAGTTTCCAGCTTTGTAAATTGCACTAGGTCATAAAACAGTAGTGTGAACAAGATTTTGAACACACAAGCAAGTTTTGTCCACTCTTTCTGGGACATTCCCTTTATATATAAAACGAATAAATTTTGCTGTTGCCTTTTCTGAAGCTGGGAGCCTCTGCATTTGAACAGAGAGACTGCATTGTAGGATCACTTCATTGTTAAAATGGATAAAAACAAATGGCACCATCGTTAGTCCATTTGCTGTCTGTTTCCAAATGTCCATATTTTGCAGACACGTGAAGGTGTATAGCCGGTTACATCTAAACTAATACAAAAACACGTCAATGTTAGTAATGGTACATAAATACACTCTAGCATATCTTCTTTTCAACTTGTCTAAGGGGCTGATCACACAGAACACGTTTATATATATATATATATATATATATATATATATATATATATATATATATATATAATTTTTATTTATTTTTTTTTTTTTTGCGTTGAGAGGCACCTTTTTTAAATGATTTATGCACTCTGCGCGCCTCATGTTTTAACCACCTGTTGCGCCTCGCGTTTTCGCTATTGTGCGCTCGCAGTTGAAAAAGTAAATTCATTGTAAAAAGCACATCTTTTTTATCTCCAATCAATTGAAAGCAGAGGCGGGGCTTCCGTTGAGGAAAAAGCAGTGTTTGTGTTAAGATGACTACGGAAACTTTTAAAGACAGAGGAGAGACTAGGGATTACTGTTTTGTGTTATCCGGAGCTGTATGACTTCACAAATCTTGAATATCACAATATTATTGAATATTAAAATTATAGCAACAGCAACACTCGTGCACAATACCCAACTTATTTAGTTGTTGCCTAGTGACAAAAAAGTTCACCGCATTTTATTTTTCTTGTCAACAAAAAGTTTGCTGTGCGCCATGCATTTTTGCAATTAAAAAGTGCTTTCGGTGAGATCGGCCCTTAAGCTGGCAAACAGCGAAAACCTAAACAGAACCAGAAACTAAACACAAAACAGTCTTCAAAATTAAGGCTTATTCCAATGTCACCTTTAAATATATTGTGAAACAAAATCTTGAAACTACTCCTTTGGCCCTTTATCAAAGAGCTGTTTTAATTTTTTAAAGGTTTTAGCGTTCAAGTAATAGATGAAGTCCTATTTCAATTTTGGATAATGTTTTAGCTGACCTGAATGACATGAAATACAATGATGAGGGAGAAAATGCAGTTTTGAGCATGAGAGTAGCCGCTAATGGAAGTCTGTGGAAGACTGAAATGTTCATGCGCAGTTTTATCTTTTTCTCTTGTGCTAATAATCCACAAACCCATTTGGGACTATGTGTTGACTGGAAAAGAAGGATTTGTTAATGTTCTCTATTCTTCAGAACTGTCGAGATATTTATGATTTGATTAATCATGACCATGCCAGAAAATGCTTTTAATTCAGTTTATTGAACAAAATATCTTACAATGTCTTGGATATACATATGTACAAATATTACATTATGCTAAAACTTCACTCTGTCCTTATTTTTAACAAACACCATCCATGCACTTGAAAGAACATTACATCACATCACTTGTTTCCAAAAATCTGAATATAGAAAGCACAAAAATAGGAATTTCACCTGGAAATACATACTTGTCAGCACAAGAAAACTTCATTGTAAAAAAACAAAAACAAATTGTGTATACAATTTTTGCAGTTTTTAAGCAGGTATGAAATATACCTGAATTGACCTCCCTTAAAAGGTATTATAATGTGTTGTTCCATGTGAGAGCGAGAATCCCTTTCAGACACAGAACAAGTAAGCAGTGGCTCTGATCCTGGTCACTTCCTGGCATCAACAGTGCTCTCAGATAACATAGACATCTGTCTTCTCTCCCAGAAGCCAATATGTTCTCATTTTGCCTTTACCCTGAAAGAGAGGAACAGCAGCGATCAATAGCATGCATCAATGAGCACTCAGACAGCTTGCAGAAGGAACTAATCAACAATGGCCAATATGCTCTTTCCTTAATGAAAAAAGACACATAGACTGAGTCCGAGCTAATATCATCCTTCACAGAAAGGTGCTAAAAGTTGTTTATCTCTATTGATTAAGTCATCATAATTCACAGATTGACATCAAAGTTCAGAGTTCACAGGACTTATTGTAGTATTGAACATAGAGTATAGAAAATATGACAGTGATGAGAGCTTATTTTTTATTATGCTTTACTATTTGTTTTAAATACTGTCTATTTAAATAGCCACAAAGCATTTGGTAAGGATATAAGAATAAAAAAATGAATAAGAATTTAATTAAAAGACATGCATTTATTCTTGCAAGGTTAAACGACCTTTTTCAGAACTCTGTTATGGCTTTAACACCACACAATTGCAGAAATCTAATGTGTAATCACTGCTGATTACGGATTTGCCAGAGAAAATCATCATAACCCGCATCATTGGATGTTCTACATTAGATGCAAAACCCGCTAGACTTAAAGAGCCCCTATTATGGGTTTTTGATACCTGCCTTACATGCAGTGTTTAACACAGATCTAAGTAAATAAAAACATGTAGCTGAGGATTAAATCTAAATGTGCACCGTGTTTAAAATGATTCATTCTTAAGGGAAAGAATCAACCCAGAGTCGAATGTTTTTTTTTTTTTAAGTACAAATCTTTTTGCCTGTTCGTGTCGATGTGGACACGCGACTGCCAATTATAAAGTGCTGCATCCAGTAAACCGTGAACGCGTCTTTTCCTTTAGACACTAGTGGAGCTCAGAGAATCATGGTATTGATCATGACCTGAAAATCAGGGGCGCCTGCAGGATTTTATTCAAAGGTACACACATATCCAGCACCACCCGCCTCATCATCCCTTATTTTTATATCAGTCTCAAAAAAACACTGATGCATGCTGAGTTAAACGAGAAAATTAAACCACACTATTGTATCTTCATTTTTTTTTTCTTTTTTTTTTTGTGGTCAGTTATCTACTAGATAAAGAAGAATAACAAATAACCTGAGGTGAAGTCTCAAACTCTTTTGGAAGGGTGGGAAAACTCAGAAACTTGTTGTGAGAATGGAGATGTCTGCTTATTTGTGCCAGTCTGTCAGATAAAATAATTTTAAACACCCTCAATGTAGTGGGTCCATGCGAGGAGGCTGCACAGCCACAGGCTGGGCCTGGAGTTCCCCCGGATCAGGTGCTGATGAGCAATATTTGTCTCATTAGTTTTAGGCCTTTGGGCAAATGTCTCAATTAAGTTTAGCTGTTTTAAAGAGAGTTTACTCATTTTGGACCTTGTTTTAAACAATAGCTATCTGAATTGTAAGTTTTAGTGTGCAGAAAAACTGCCAGCAAAACTAAAGCCAATAATTTCTTTACCCATCTCCCACCAAGTACATACTTTAAAACACACAAACGCACAACTTTATTTATTCTCATTCTTTCTTGCTTTGTCAGTATATCATAGTGTATACTTTTAAATAATCCATTTGAATGATGTGAAAAATAAATAAATAAAAAAAGCAGCATTAATTCACATCCGGTAGGCAAACACAGTACGTACACCTACTGCTGCAGGCACCACTGCTGAAGATCACCATTACTGAGAGATGGCCATATATGCGATTTGTATATATGATTTGCCAGCAATTTGTTATTAAAGAAAAGACAAGCACAGTCTAATAACATATGGAACTTTTCAGTAACTGTTACACAGTTTGTATGGACCAGTTTCTTCTTCCTCCAGATCCCTCCAGTGTTTCTCTTTCTTGCACAACCTGTAAGTGTGATTAAAATGGTTGCCTCGTTTTCTGCACTTTGCAAATTATATGTTTCGTAACTTGTAATCTTTCTGTGTGACTTGAAATCACTTATCTACTATAAATCAGTGCTTGTAATGTACAGTATCTTACATGTTAAATCTTTATGGGGCTGTTCACATATTGCATCTGTGCTTGATTCCCTACATATTGTCGTTGCTATGGCCACTATTAGCTGTTCCTCACAAGCGTGGCGTGGTCTTTAAAATAGTTCAACATTTGCCACTGTGTATATTAATTCTGAATGTGTGCCGTTGTTATTACTTGAGGTTATGATTAAGAATAAAGCAATATTGCACACCTGCATTGGGCTCACACCAATCACAACAGACCTAAGTTGTTTCTTCAGCGATTTTGCGACCTTGTGTTCTCGTGTAACGTCACCATCAACTGCCAAAGTTTAGTTACAATACTCAAGACCGCAAGAACGGAGGACACGTGAATCTTCCTGGATGTCTTCTTGATATCGAGGATGCATGGATGCAGACTTGAAAAGTCTCAGAAGTTATTGTGACTAGAGGTGGGAAGCGCAGCATTTTATATATGTTTATTATTAAAGTTCAGAGAGATCATTTATTTATCTCAGGAGTTTCCTAAATGAAACGGTGAATATAAACATTACCATGAAAATCTTAATACGGGAATAAACACATTAAGAGTGTTTATTTGCTGAAATTTGTATTAAAAATCTGTTTTATTTATATTGTGCAACATATAAATTTGAAGTCTTTATAAATAGTATATATTTTTAAAGGGGGGAAAACAATAATTGGTTGTATGAATGCTAAAATGTTTTAATAATTTACCATTAAAAGCACGTGAAGGGGCGACGCAGAGGCGCAGTAGGTAGTGCTTTCGCCTCACAGCAAAAAGGTTGCTGGTTCGAGCCCAAACTGGGTCAGTTGGCGTTTCTGTGTGGAGTTTGCATGTTCTCACTGCGTTTGAGTGGGTTTCCTCCGGGAGCTCCGGTTTCCACCACAGTCCAAACACATGCTGTACAGGTGAATTGGGTAGGCTAAATTGTCGGTAGTGTATGTGTAAATGAGTGTGTGCAGATGTTTCCCAGAGATAGGTTGTAGCTGGAAGGGCATCCGCTGCTTAAAAACATGCTGGATAAGTTGGCAGTTCATTCCGCTAGGGCAACCCCGGATTAAAAAAGAGACTAAGCCGAAAAGAAAAATGAATGAATGAATAAATGAACGAACGTGTGAAGGTCACATGACCATCAGGAAGAATGCAGCATCTCATTTTTCACAGGACGCGTTCTCTGTTCTCTCGGTCTCCCGAGTTCGTTCTTCTGAAGGTTACCTGGCAAGAGCGGTCTTCACAAGAATGCAAGTCCATTCTCTTTGTTCTTGGCCTTAGTCATCGGACCAATCAGTGCAGATTAGCTTTGCTTTAAGTAGGGGTTTGTGAACAAATTAATCACTAAACAGATCATATGGGATCGTTGGAATAATTAGGTAAAAACAAATGTAAATTTTAAAACAATGAAAGTGCTTTTTGACCTTACATGCATGTCAGCCTGTTGTTGGAGACCCCGAAACCAAAATATGACCTTTTATAATGCATAATAGGGGCTTTTTTAAATAAACAGTCAGCAATAGATGCTGCATAACAGCTTTTTAACATGTTGTGATCAGCAAATGAGCTAATGTTAGAGATGTTCCTCTCATTGTAAAACGTGTTTGTGTATTCATAATGAGATGAAGTATGAGAGGTTAGAAGAAAACATTTAACTATTCCTTTAAGACACAACAAACAGTCCTACACATCTAAACAGTTTTTGTAGTTCAAGGCCAAAAATACACATAGGCTATATGTGAAAAGCAGGGTACAAAAGTAAATAAACACTCTTACGAACTTTAAAAGAAAATTAAAATGCAAAGTTAAAGGGCACAGTATGTATGGCTTTTTTCATTCAAATTTCCAACCCCACTAGAACAATTTTCTATATTTTGTTGACTTATGTACTTGTATTATCAGAAGTTTCAAATGCATCTCAATTTTAACTAGAAACATGCTAATGATCTCACATCTCAGATTTCTGATTTGGTCATCTAGAAAACATCGATGCACCAAAGATCAAAGTTTCTTAAGACTTCACTGTAAAAGCAGAATTATAACAGAACTTGAAAAAGTATTAAGTTGTTAAAACAGTGCTTCTAGGGCATCACGGTGGTGCAGTGGGTAGCAAGATCATCTCACAGCAAGAAGGTTGCTGGTTTAAGCCTCGGCAGTTGGCATTTTTGTGTGGATTTTGCATGTTCTCCCTGTGTTCGCGTGGGTTACTTACGGGTATAAGTGAATTGAGTAAGCTAAATTGTCCGTAGTGTATGTGTGTAAATGAGTGTGTATGGATGTTTCCCAGTGGTGGGTTGCAGCTGGAAGCATCTGCTGGCAGCATCCACTGCGTAAAACATATGCTGGATTATTTGGGGGTTTATTCCACTCTGGCGACCTCAGGTTAATGTAGGGACTAAGACGAAAAGAAAATAAATGAATGAAAACAGCACTTCTTTTTTCCTCCGTTATCATGAGCACAAAAGCTTCACTGCTTTCATGCAACATCACACTCGAGGGTGCTTCAGCAGTCTTTTTCTGCTTCTATGGCTTTCAATCTTACTCTGCTCTATACTACTATGACAATAGGTTGTAAATACATTAGCTCATCCATGAATGAACATGATTTCTGCAGGAGTTTGGTAGGATGTAATGAAGATGGCAACTCCCACAATTCCATACTCAGACATGGCCTCATCAAACTGCAACAATGTTTGTTGTGAATGCATGTCCTCTAGTGGCACAAATGATCAATTTTTAGCTGATAATTTGCCACTGCCACTAATAGCCTTTAACCATTAGTGGCAGTGATCTCTCCCTCTCCCCATGCATGTGCACACTAGGCTACATAGAGAAAATCTACACAATGTCTACACATTAATGAAGCACAACTTTAAAGTATTATATTGAGTATCATATTAAATTGGAGGCAGTGCTTTTATTTTCATTCTCTCATAACAAACTGAGAAAGATTGCCACCCCAAACATGGAAGCAAATCCTCAGACTTTAAATGAAGCAAACAATTTTATTTTATTTTTTCGTTTTGGTGGAGTAACTTGCATGGATTATTTGTTCACCTAAAGAATAATGATGTGTGCCAGCAAAATAAAAATTGTAAACATTAAAACAATGTAAATTTCACACCAACTTTAAATAAAATTTTGCTTTGCAGGACTATTTTATCTTATTGATAACAAAAATAATATTTTTTTATAGTATGGTACTCAATTTTTTCTATATATTGACAATCGCTTCAGAAAGCAAGTAAGACTCCATACCTTCATCTCCACATCTCCTCGCAGCTGGAGTTCGAAATAACCAAACTCATCCAGAACCTCTTTGGTTGCTGAGGACATGTGTATCCTCAGAGCTGTTGAGAAAACGACCATCACAAACAAACAGTTCATCAGAAATTTTGAAATAATCTCATCATTTACTCAACCCATTTTCTGTGGAACACGTAAATATATGTTGACATATACATGATTTATAATCATCAGTTATAAAACATTTTCTTCTTGTAGTAGTTCTGTAGTATGTCAAACCTAATGCAACATGTCACTTATGTTATACCTAGTGTATAATGAACAGCTTGCCACTATACACTCACCGGCCACTTTATTAGGTACACCTGACAAACTGCTCGTTAACGCAAATCAGCCAATAACATGGCAGCAACAATGCATTTAGGCATGTAGGCATGGTCAAGACGATCTACTGCAGTTCAAACCGAGCATCAGAATGGGGAAGAAAGGTGATTTAAGTGAGTTTACTGTACTCAAATGGCCTCCAGATTCACCACATCTCAATTAAATACAGCAGCTTTTGGATGTGGTAGAATGGGAGATTCGCATCATGGATGTGCAGCCGACAAATCTGCAGCAACTGCATGATGCTATCATGTAAATATGGACCAAAATCTCAGAGGAATTTTCCAGTACCTTGTTGAATTCAGGCCGTTCTGAAGGCAAAAGTTGGTCCAACCCTAGTAAGCTGTACCTAATAAAGTGGCCAGTGAGTGTATTTATTGTGTCTTTAAGACCCTGGTCACTATATGTTTTCTACAAATATTCCCTGTTCACTTTTTTGCATTTGTGTGTCTGAGCTATCTTTTCAGAGCCAAAACTAATCAGTGTAAGTGCACAGCTGTGAGTGACAGATGACACCATGCTTGATAAAAGATGATCAAGCTTCAGAATGGTGACACGTTGCACATATGGAGCCTGACGTAATGGGTAATTTGTCCTGTCTAAAAGAGGCTACATAAGGTGTGGGCTCCTTGCAGCTAAGTGTGCATTAGGCTCCAACCAGCTGTAAACATATTATTACATGTTATAAATCAAACCGGAAACATGTTGAGTGTCCTTGTCACTAAGTATTAATAATGCAAATGTGCACAAAGCCCACATCAGGAAGTGGATCGTCAGTCGATACATGTGGGAAGTCTCATGAACAGCAGTTGCTGCTTGTGAATGGGTGGAACGCATATTAAAGTTTTATACAGCACAACTCAGTACCACATTAGGGATGCGCTGTCATTGTCTGCCATCTACCCCTTCAAATGGATTATCCTAACCATGACTCAAAAGCAATCTGTGAAGAAATGTGCAAGTGAATTGTTTGCTAGCTGAAAAAGTGAGTTTGCTGCTAGCATGCTTGTAAGCATCTTTACTTTTTATTTCTCCCTAAGCTATAAAGTGCTATTTAAATTATTCTAAAATGTTTGTTGAGCATATTATATTGTTGAGTACATTATAATGGTTTCTGAAGAATTATGTGACACGTGAGGATTTAGCTATAATTGCCCTTTCCTTTGATTCATAATTCCATAAACGCTTTAAATGCAGACAGTCGCCGCCTGCAGAGCAAATAACAGAACTAACAGTAGCACCTGATTCATTGTTATTTTGTTTACACTCACTATTTTCTAAAGCTTTGGAATGTTTAGTACATTTAAAATCAATGCAGCCCATGACCCTTTTTTAACAAACAGCATTTTCTTTAAATATGTCAATCACAACACTCATATGCTATTTAAACTTAAGAAAAAATTAAACTTAATAGCAATAAAGACTTAAAATTATACTTAAAGACGTAAAGTAGTAGTTCACCCAAAAATTAAAATGATGTTATTAATTACTCAACCCGTGTTGTCCTAAAGCCCTGGAACTTTTGTTTATCTTTGGAAAGCACTTTGAATTTCCATTGTGTATGAAATGTGCTATATGAATAAACTTGCCTTGCCTTACCTTGTCTTTGGAACAGAAATTAAAACATTTTAGATAAAATCTGAGAGCTCCCTCATCTTCCATAGACAGCAAGATTGCAGACTTATTCAAAGCCCAGAAAGGTACCAAAAACATCCTCAAAACAGAATCCTTTTATGTTCAAAATAAACAAACAATAATGACTTTATTTAACAGTGTAGTCCCCTCAGTGATGCACACTCTACACTGACACCGAGGAGAAGAAACTCTTGAATGTTTCATGTGCGCACAAAAGAAAAGGATTCTCGTATCTTGATAATATTCCAATTGAACCACTGACGACTTATGGACTGTTTTGAGGATGTTTTTTGGTACCTTAATGGACTTTGAATGAGTTAGGAACTTTGCTACCTATGGAGAGTCATAGAGTGCTCAGATTTTACCTAAAATATCTTCAGTAGTTCACACTTAGCTGGCGATTGATTATAAAGCGTGTTTGGCATGCTGTGCCGGGAGAGAGCCCATTAGCTCAAGATTCTTAAGCCGGGGGCAAGAGGGGAGTTTAGAACTCACCTGCTTATTTATGGCTAATGGCAAATTAGGGATTGCTATGGAGAGATATACTGCTGGTTAAGAACTCATCTATGATGCCAATTTTGTTTGGTCAATTCGCCTATGTCGCATGTCTTTGGACTGTGGTAGGAAACCAGAGAACCCAGGGAAACCCACACGAGCATGGGGAGAACATGTAAACTCCATACATAAATGTCAACTGGCCTGGTAAGGATTTTGAGGCAACAGTACTAACCACTGGGCTGCCGTGCCTATCAAGGAAAATGGAGCAGGAGTAGGGGTGAAAAGGCTATTCTCCAATATGAAGATAACTGAGGTAAGGAACTCTGGTTATTTATAGTGAGTTATGAATCATCTGATTTGTGAATTATGCATAAGCTAATGTGGGACCAGCCGTGGTCAATCATAGTCACATGATCCTCTTGAAATTAGTTTATAAATAAATTTCCTTTAATATGTGCTCTAAGGATAAATGAAGGTCTCAAGGGTTTGGAAAGACATGTTAATTAGTAATTAACATAATACACACGTGTGTATTAACTGTTCATCATGCTGTATTGTCCTACAAGTGGAAAAAAATTTAATTCCCAACGAAAAATAAAAATGCAGTTTTGTCACCAACCTTCACCTGTAGACTCCATACGGGATGCTGTGTTGACGGTATCTCCGAATAAACAGTATCGGGGCATCTTCAGACCCACTACACCGGCACATACAGGCCCTGTTCATCACGTACAAATACAGCAGAGAAAGAGAGATAATAAATCACTGTACATATGTAGATTTTAAAGTTGTTATTTCAAAAAACAATGTGAAAAATGGAATTTGTTTCAGAATATATTTTAATATAAATACACACTATTCTCTTCAAATTTTCTCAAGATCAAATATCTGAGCTATAAGCTTAGTTTTATGTCTTGATGCACGCTAACATTTAAAAAATTTTACAAGGAAAAGTTTTCTTATAGTTTACTATGTTATTGTTTGTAAATGATTACTTGGCCTTACCAGGATTTTCTCAATACTATTAATAAACATCAATAACATGAATGGATTCAAACGTATTAATGTTAATAATGAAATCTGACAAACGATAATGGTACCTGTGTGAATTCCTATCCGCAGTCGTAGTTGATCATTTGGTCTGTGTCTGATTTTGAAGGTTTTAACCTGCTCCAGTAAAGCCAGTGACATGCCGGCGATCTCACGTGCATGTAGCTTCCCATTCCGCACAGGCAGACCTGAGACCACCATGTACGCATCACCGATTGTTTCCACCTAACATTAAAAGAAAATGCATAAAACCAAACATGATTTTGCTGCCTTCAAAAATCTGATAGAAATAAAATATCTTACTGAAACTAACTTTTATCTGTACACAATATTATCAAGAGCATATCTTAACATCACATTTGAATTCATTATTTTTTAAATCAGCTATAGCTGTTATAACTGCGATTACAATTAAATCTGAAAATACACAATGATATCAAATTGATAGAATGACAGCACAGTTTATAAAATAACACTTACCTTATATACATCAAAATTATCAATGATGGCATCAAAGCATGTGTAAAGATCATTCAGCAATGTCACCACCTAAAGGGAGTGTTAAGAAAACTGTTAAAAGAAGCACCGTGCTGTATTGCAACATGAAGAAAATTATGTATTACATTATTCATAACTATATTATGTTAACTATGTCTTTTTAAGCAGTATTTTTACAATATGATCAAAATAACTAAACATTAAGAAGTTGCTGCCAAATTAAGAATAACCACTATCATTCGCATCAAAAGGTCCTTTGCAAGTGCTTGTATCCACTATATGAAATTAGCCAAGATACACCAACGTTTTGCTTACCCGAGCATTAAATAGCATTTATTTACTCTTTAGAAGAGACACTCAGACTTTCTCCATTTTTATACACCTTTTGGTGTAATAATCTGACAAATTATCAGGTCTTCATTATCATTCATTCATCCATTTATTTTATTTTTGGATTAGTCCCTTTATTAATTAGGGGTCACCCCAGCAGAATGAACCGCCCTTCCAGTCACAACCCAACACTGGGAAACACCTATACACTCTTGCATTCACACACCAATTGAGTTTATTCAATTCATCTATACCTCATGTCTTTGGGGTGTGGGAGAAACTGGAGCACCCTGAGGGAACCTACGGCAACACAGGGAGAACATGCAAACTCCACAGAGAAATGGAAACTGGCCCAACTAGGGCTCAAACCAGCAACCTTCTTGCTGTAAGGCGATCGTGCTACTCACTGCGCCACCATGATGCCCTCTTAATTATCAAAGGCCCCAAAATTAATTTTGAACTGAATGTATTAAGTCTAGGAAGTGTTGCTAGATCAGATCATTCGGAGAAAGTTCAGTCTAACCCTGAATGTTTTATCCGAAAATTTGCCCTAGAATTTAGAGAAAATTTGAAAGCAAAAAAAGGTACATGTTTATTATTTTAGGTAAGCACTGTTGTCATTTACTGCATACAGTATTGAAGAAACTGAGCATGCTGAGTTAATATATCTGAGTGCAGATGACAGAGATTGAGAAAGCTGGACGGTGTCTATTGTTTGTCGTATTAACCTTACACTGAGGGTGATCTAATTTCACCCCACTGTCATTTGGCATTTTAGGTATATGCAAAAAAAAAAAAAATTTGAAAAAAAATGGCATTAATAAAAAATATATATTCATAATATTATTAAATAAGCTTTTATACAAGTTAACACTCCAGTTCGAAGCGGATAGTGCCTGCCCCATTCACAGTAAACTGGCCACAACACACTGAATCTTTTATTTTGATTTTCAGAGAAATCCCTGCAGAGATTTTAGTCACTATTAGAAAAGTGGTTTGAGAGAGTTTGAGTATGAACAGAGCCTCTGTCTGCTTTATATAAAGCTTTGGGGTGATTGCAGATTATATCCTAAATGTTTTGGTAGTTGATCATCAGCAGCAGCCTTTTAAACAGTTCTGTTGTGTTGTTCAAAATGGGAAATTCTGATACTTGTTTTGACACCCGCTTCGAATGTTATCACTCGACTGAATGGGCGTTATCAGTGGTTATCAGCTTATAGATATGGGCCATTATGAGCCTTCTGTACCTATAGGTAGGCTCAGAAGGCTTTTATCATCCATCCACATAGTTAATCAGCTATACTAACAGAGAAGACTTCAGATCCAGATCTGTTTTTATATTACTGTAATGTTGAGTTTAGGGTAGGGGTAGACATTAATAAAATACAATTAATTGGAAATTTAATAAATAATACAAATAATTATTGTGGTTAATCAGCTTTACTGGAAGACTCCAGATCTGTTTTTACATTACTGTGACGGTTGGGTTTAGGGTTGGGTTAGGGGTAGACGTTAATAAAATTAAACTAATGGGAAATTTAATAAATAATATAAATAATTCTCGTTAACTTCCAACCACAGCCGTATGTGATCTATAGCTGATTAACCATGTGGATGGATGATAACAGCCTTTTGAGCCAACCAGTAGGTGCAAAAGGCCCCTACTGGCCCATATCTATCAGCTGATAACCACTTATAATGCCCTTTATTCGAGGTTTAACATTCAAATCGACTAGTTTTCATCTTTAGCAAAATAGTTTTAGTGATGATTAGGTATCTTTAGTCTAGTTTATACAAATCCATATCTGCTTGAAAAGATACAGAAGGCTTTATAGCTAATAATAAAGAATGAGAGTCTTATTTGGGATCATTCATGCAAATATTGTGTTCTCCATGACTATAGAATGAGCTTAGATAGTGTATATGGCTATGTTTATTTAATGTATTATGATTTAACTAAACTTGTTAAAATTTAATTGATTAAATCTAAAATTCTTCAGAAGATAAAAAATGAAAACTCATAGCTAAAACTAATGGAATTTTACTAAAAAACAAGCCTGTTCAAATGTATATTTAATATAATTTGTCAATATTATTTTGTATAAATTTAAAAGTTGATTATTTAATTGTATTATTCAGATAGTAGAAAAACTTATTATTATTTTTAATTGATGAAAGTATCAAAAATAAGCTAACTCATACAATAATACCAGCATAAATAAATTATGATATATAGCACAACAATAATCATGCACAAGCTTAAAAAAATTCTAAAATGTTATGAATTTAATAAACTCCTGTTTAGTAGCAATACTTGGAAAAAATGGGAGGAGTTAGAAGAAATGGAACTAAATGAAGTTGTATAAAGCGGTATAAAAATGCTCTTACAAAACATATAGTTCCTGCTTACCCCTTCCCCTCATTAGCCACTGACGTTTTCAAATCCTAGCAATGCCCCTGATTACGTCTATTGTGTCTGCAGCCCTGCATTGTTGTTGACTGTGAAATGACTGCTACGATGTATTTCTGCTCGAACTCCCAATGGTTCGCTCAAATTAAAATACTTTCTGCCCTCCTCCCCACACTCCCCCCTTCCATCCCATCCTTCTGGATGTACGCCCAGAAAGAGGCCTTACAGAGCCGATATATTTGCATAAATAGAAAAGATGATAAATTAAACATCCAGGACAACTTCATTATGAGGATATCATAACCTTATAGCCTTACATTTTGACTGATTTTACATCTGTTTGAAAATTATGACTGTTCAACTTTTGTTGTCAGCATTTGGTCACATTCCAGAACAACTTTCCAAAATCAGCTGGTCTATGAGTTCAGGTCAGACAAATGGCCTCAAATGCCTGACTCTTATTTGAAGTGCAAGAAACAGAAAAATACAGAAATGAAGCTAAAGAAATCTGTACTTTTCAAAAATGTATTTCAAGGAGTAATGACATAAAGCGATGACAACTTTGCATTGATCTTTTGAGATCTTTGTACCATTAAAAAAGCCTAGAAAGTTCATAGGTTAAAATATACTCCTCATATTAAAGAAAGCATTTACTCAGTCAAGATTTAAAAATGGCTCATTTGGCGAAGAGGTACCATGACATGACAGGGCCCATGCATGTGCATTTACACTGTATGCATCATTATACATCATTGAACCGTAAGTACGATCCAGCCCACTGGTGTTTAGTCAGTTAGCAAAGGTTGCACACCATGCCACAACCCAAATACCAACTTTACTGTTATTCCCAATCCAGGCTCATTCAAAATAATTTCCTTTGTCTAGATTTTTATGAAAAGTACATTGTGTTACACATTTCAGATCACAAATACACTAGATGGTGCAAGTCAGTACATGCCCTTTTTGTGGATGTTCTTGAGAAGGCCTTTAATTTCATACAGATCACCATGTTAATTACTTAAACCCATCCCTAAAGCCAATCACTAATGATTTTAAAAGCAAATGTAAAATAAAGACCATCACAGTATACAGTATCTGGATTTTACATGGAAATTATATCTTTATTGTGGAACTGTGCTTCACCAGACAATAATCCTGTGAGAATACTTAATTCTGATTTGTCAGTCTCAACATTCCACTTGACTGACAAAATTCTTGTTGCCTTTCCAAGATTTAGGAACAACAAATGATAACTTGACTTGGCTTATATGAATGGCGAAGGCCTCTAGATTAAACTTATTTTACTAAAATAAAATATGTTCATGCTTTGATTTTTAATTATTTAATTAGGACAGTAAGGTCTGGCTTTGCTTAGACAAAGGTCTTGTCACTTAACAAAAATAATGTACAGTATAAAATATTAAGTCATGGTGCAGTGGAAAAAGAATGAATATTGAGTATGACTCTCATAACCTTGGAGGACTGCATCCATACATCTCTGCAATGACTCAAAGAACTTATTAATAAAGTCATCTGGAATGGCAAAGAAAGTGTTCTTGCAGGACTCCCAGAGTTCATCAAGATTCTTTGGATTCATCTTCAATGCCACCTTCATCTTACCCCAGACATGCTCAATAATGTTTATTCTGGTGACTGGACTGGCCAATCCTGGAGCACCTTGACTTTCTTTGATTTCAGGAACTTTGATGTGGAGGCTGAGTTATAAAAAGTGCTATGCCGCAGAAGAATTTGCCCTCTCCTGTGGTTTGTAATCTAATGAGCAACACAAATGTCCTAATACCTCAAGCTGTTGATGGTGCCATCCACTCTGCAGATTTCTTACACACCCCTATACTGAACGTAACCCCAAACCATGATTTTTCCTTCACCAAACTGATTTCAGTGATAATCTTGGGCCCATGCGGGTTCCAAAATGTCTTCTTTGGTATTTGGGATGATTGGGATGCAGTTCAGCAGATGACTCATATGAAAACTCGACCTTCTGCCATTTTTTAAAAGATCAACTAGACTACAAGTTATTATTTGTTACTCTTACAATTGGAATCAATGACAGGACTTTTGTCAGGTAGTGTATGCTATTGCCAGATAACAACTGTCCGGGAATCATCCTGACCATCAGTGAATAGGTTGTATGTTTGTTTGTAATGCTGCTGTATAATGCATGCTCCTTCAACTGTTTTGAATGCTTTGCATTCAATTATATAATTAAAGACAAATAATTGATAACTGCCTAGATCTACTTCATCCCTTACATAGCCCTAGAAACAGTCAAAGATTTTTCAATCAATATTTAAGCATGCAGTAGACCAGATTATCATGTAAAAATATATATATATTTGAACTCGTAAGCTAACAACCCAGGCTCATTGTGGATTGTACAGCTGTATACACTTCTGGAGAGCACAAAATACAACGCAGGAGGTACTTTTGTGTAATTTTCACGAATCAACCTGAGGTTGCTGTGTATGCTTTTTCAGATCTCAAAATTCTCTAGCAAGTGCCATTCGCACCTGTTGTTCTTCTGTAAATCCATAAGAGGCTGATGTCAACTGACTATCCAACCGACCGAAGGATCCCCCCACCTATTCAATCGATAGTGTTTTCAAAAGCATTGATTAGCCTGCCCACCACCTTCCCTAAACCCAACTGACAGCATTTTCAAAAGCAATCAATAAAAAGAAAAGTCTTTGCGGCTGCCTTATTTTTATCATGTTTCAGATCTTACAGCACTCTCACTCTGGTATTTTAATTTATTTTTTGCTTTTTGTTTTACCAGCTTTCTTATTATTGGCCAGACTCAAAAAGAAATGTAGACTCGGTTACATATTCACAATGAGCCTTTGTTGCAAGCTAACCAACTTCACTATTATAAACACCCTATATCATATTAAATAATTGAATAATGGCATGTCTGCTGCTGGGAAACAGGACAAACTGAAATGTGAAAGAAAGCAGAAAGTTTAAACAGCTCGTTTAGACTTTAGAAAGATCCTTTTTTACAGCATTTGACTGCAGATCTAATGTGTTGTGAATGATGGTTTTAAAGGACATTGTCAAAACAATCTTATGCACAATAGCAGGATTGATTTTATATTATTTCCTATGCAATGACATGACAATCAAAATAGTGTCTGTTTACTGACAAGCCTCAAAGGACCCACTCCATAAAAACAGACTTTTTCACAAAGAGGGAACGGGGCTTGAAAGTAATTATTTTTTTCACATATATTTGCTTTTTTTTTTTCTTTTCTTTTTTTTGAGAAAAAATATATTATTAATAATTCTAAGGGCAACATTTAAAAGAATCCATGCGATGACATGTATTAAGTCATATAAAATCACAATGAGGTTTTATTCGTAAATTATATTCTCCATTGTGAATGATGTATTGAGAGCATTTAACATAATGCCATGCCTTGATCTAATCTTCAGCACTATTCAAACAATATCTCAGCCAAAATTACATCAAAATATATATCAAGATTTATTACTTATATAAAACATTTTGTAATGTCTGGCAGTAAATAAATTAATACAATAGCTTTGAATGAGAATATATAACCATCTAGGGGCAAATATTTGCAGCCTTTCATCAAACGGTGATCATCATGTTAAAACGCATGGGAACATGGTGTAAGGAATGTCTTCTCTGTGGCTTAGAACAAATAATGACGCAGTCATTTATATCTCTTTAAGACATTATGAAGGACAGATAGGTTACTTGCAAAAGCAATGATGAATAGTGCTTGCACAATCAAACAATGGTTTCAGAAAGTTACACTAAATATGGTCATGACAGCTCCAACCATACATAAACAAAGCAGCCAGGTTATTAAATATGTGCAATGATAACTTCTTTCACAGATTTTACTGAGTAAACATTCCCAGTGAAATATACCAGATCAATGTATTCTACTACACTGTGCTCAACCTAGCACTAATTCCTAGTGAATTGAATATATATATATATATATATATATATATATATATACACAAAAAGAGCTATGTTTATTCCCATACTGCATTCCCCACATAATTTTACTTTAAAAAATATTTAAGCTTGGATCTGTTATGTGTGTTATTTAAGCTGAGATCTGTTATTTGTGTTATGTTGCAATATTTGGGCTATAGCCAAAATGCATTGTACGATAAATTTTTCAAAAAATCATTCGAATTTTAAGAAATCTTTACTTAATGTTTCATTAAGACTTTTCAGACTGTAGATATTTCAAGACTCAATTTTGCATCAGTAATATGATTGCTAAAAGAACAATGAAGATTTTAAAAGTTTAACCAAATATTGCTATATCTCAGCAGACCATACATTTAACGAAAAGATTATTTATTAAGCTTTCAGGTGCTGTATAAATTTTAATTAAAATAAAGACATTTATGACTGGTTTTGTGGTCCAGGGTCACTCATTTTGCAGTGGAGCATTTGTAAGTTTTAGGGCTCTATTTTAACAATGTAGATGCAAAGTCTAAAGCGCCTGGCGCAAAAGCAAAAGGACATGTCCCAATCCACTTTTGCTATTTTAAGGACAGATAAATATGGCGCATGGTCTAACAGGGTTGTACTCATTCTCTTAATAAGAGTTATGAGTGTGTTTTTATCATAATGTGCATTAAACCAATCTGAGTCTCATTTCACATACCCTTTAGGAGTCATGACGCATTCGCTATTTACATGATGGACTTTGTAAATGGAAGAACCGAACGATTCACTAGCAAGAAAACCATCTGCAGTGTTAGAGTAAAGAATGAGTCTGCTCTATTCAGCCCCTTTACTTTAGCTTTACTTTAGTTTTACTCTTTACTTCACTCCTTTACTTTTGTAGAGTACGGAAACAGTGTTGCACGCACTCCACTGAAGACATTCTTTTACATATTTAATTTTGTTTGGGCAAAGATTTGTTTTGAAACTATTTTTAAATTCAGTTCTAATTTCCATCCAACAAAATAAATCAACAAAAATAATGAAGTGTGGTCAATGAAACGAGTTGGACTTTTTAGTTGGTCAATGGCGCGGTCTATTTCAGTTCTTCAAAATAGCAAAGTGCAAACATTGCACCTTAACAGACCTCCTTTTTAGACCGGAATGCCCACGAGTTCACAAAGTGGTGCAAATGGATTTGCTATTTAAACAACGTGGTGCAAAACGTGAAAATTAGGGTTGCGCTGGTCTAAAAATAGCAACAAATCATGCCAAACACGCCTTATTGCGCTAGAAATAAAAGAAATTGTAATGCATTTTTTAATTATCAAGATCATTAATCTCACATTTTTGGAGCCCTCTGTTAATTTATTTACTTTATATTTATTATTATCTTTTACAGACCTGTAATGGCGTACTTTCAGCAGACATTGACGTGAAGCCCACTATGTCACTGAAATAGATGGTGACGCTGTCAAATGCTTCTGCTTGTACGGTCTCCCCTCGCTTGAGCTGCTCCGCCACTGAACTGTCAGGAGAATTAGGTTACAATGAAGTGAACCATGAAGTTATTTTCCATACACATGTCCAAAAACAATAGCAGGCATGCAAGCAGTGGCAGAACAATCACTTTAATAATTCACGGTAGAAATAAAAAAAAATACATATAATTTCATACATTATCTGAAAAAAACATTAAGTTATAAACAAATCCAACATGGTTTACATCATGCTAAAATATGAGAACTTTGACTTGCTGAGATTCTCAGCATTTCTTTTAATAATTAAAAACAAGATCGCTCTTGAGATCAATTAGTGATAATTCAGTTAATTAAAGAGTGAAATAGCTTGGTTAAACCCCATCTATATTCTATAATTTGTCAGCTTGTCAGCTTCATCTTAAGCTGAATTTAAAAGTTCTCACTGCTTGCATAATCCTCTCGGAAACAGACTACGCTCAATGCTAATAATTAGCCATTTTTAGATCAAACAGAAAATATAGCTCTATACATTCTATCACACGCAAGTTAGCTAGAAATAAGAGATTTCTGAAGTAATTGCTTCCACAGTCCCTAATCAAACATTTGGAAACTTCATAGGAAACATTGCACAACATGATCTCTTACTGTGGAAGGATTTGGTAAAGAAGATTTTCAGCTTTTCGTTTTTCCTCGAGGTAGGCTTGTGTTCGCTCCTCTACCAAGTTCTCCAGGTTATTGGCATACTGTTCCATTCTGGACAACAAGTATTGAGAATACTGGTGCTGCCTTCTCTGCAAAAAAGGGAGAGGGGGTGGGCGAGGGTTAACAATAATATAAGTAATAACTGTTAAAAATACAAATTTAAAAATACACATATATAAATTAGACACCTGCTACTATACATTTGATGCATTATTATGTTATGTTTTATATATATATATATATATATATATATATATATATATATATATATATATATATATATATATATATATATATATATATAAAAATATAAAAATATATATATATATATATATATATATATATATATATATATATATATATATATATATTTATTTATATAT